GGTGGTGAAAATGATGTAATCTATGCAGAAATAGAAGTATAATGATGTACACCTGAAATTTATACAATGTTATAAACCAATGTTACTACAATAAACAAAAAATTAAAAAATAAAAAAAAATAAAAGAATAGTGTAGAGAAAAAATAAATAAATAAAATATTTAAGATTTCTAGTTGTTTTTTAGGCTTATCCACTTTGACCTTTATGATTAACTATTTGGTTTCAACCGAAGTGGCTAAGAGGACTCCACCACAGTTAAATGTCTGAAGAAGTACAGTCTGAAATTCTTTATATAGGACATACGTGGCTTGCAGCAGTAACTGTTATATGTTATGTGCAGACTACCACAGATTAATTATTATCAAATGCTCTGGGATAAGAAAACACATTAATATGTATATAAACTAAATATGTAACAAAAGAAGTCTCCTCACCAGAGAACAAGACACAGAAGTTTCTATTGCTATGCTGTCATCAGGAGACTATGTGTGATTTCAACACGAACTTAAAATAGATGTTTTTAAAGGAGACAGACAGTCCAGAAGGCACTTATGAGTAAACAATATTGTCAATGTTTCAAAACACTGATGGACCAGATCACAGAAACACCAAAGCCATTGATAAAACAAACTTCTAAATCTAGTGGCAAATTTAGGGTCAAAGAGGACCCTCAAATTCATTGTAAATAGATTAAATCATTCTTATTCTTTTAATAATAGTGTTAGAAACAATACTTCATCAATGAAGTCCACTTTATAAATATATAATTACTTGGTAATTTTAAGTGTTGGTAGGGAGAGAAGAGGAAGAAAATAGTAACATATCTTCCATTAGTATGTTCTTTTCTTTTTTGCACATCATACTATTTTTGAATGGTTAGAGCGTGAGCAGAATCATTAAAGATGATACATTGAAACTTTTTTTTTAAACTGATGGGAGCTTTTCTCAATATTTGTTATTGTTGTTAGTGCTGTCAAGTCGATCCCGCCTCCTAGCAACCCTGTGGACCGCAGAGCGGAGCCCTGCCTGGTCTTTTTGTGCCATCCTCTCCCCTGCCGGCGCTATATCAGACAATGCTCCACTGCTATTCATAGGGTTTTGACCGCCAATCTTTTCAGATGTGGGTGGCCAGGTCCTTCTTCCTAGTCTGTCTTAGTCTGGAGGCTCTGCTGAAATCTGTCCACCACGGGCGACCCTGCTGGTATGTGAAATCCTGGTGGCATAGCTTTCAGCATCGCAGCAACATGCAGCCACCACAGTAGGACAACTGACAGAC